TGTTTAGGCGTTAATCCCATAAATGACCTACTTGCTTCTAATATGTAGTCACACAATCTAGATTCTTCTTCATTTGTAAATATTTGTTTATGATGATCTGAACTTTTAATACCAATTTTACATCTCCTTCTCAACGTTGTATAAGGTATGTTAAATTTTTTAGCAGACAAATTTAATGAAGTATTATTTGTTATTTTATATTTTATGGCTTCATTTATTATATTTACATCTCTCTGTATATGGTTTTTCTTTTATAATTTCTCATTATTTGATTGATACAATAAAAATTATAATAAATGAATTAATGAAAAATTAATGTGAATAATTTTATATTTTAACCGTTTTACCCATAACAGCTTTACCCCTAGGTGACATATATTATAAATATCGTTATTGCGTGACTTCTAATATAGCTAAAGATGTCAGATAAATTTTATTTTATAGCTAATACATTAAGGAACATGTGTGCCAAATTTTGAATCCTGAGGATATGTAAATTTTACTAAAAGCAAAATATACTAGAGAATGATTTTTATATTTTTTGGGTAAAAAACAGTTTTTTGACAAAATATATAAAACCAGGTAAGTTTTTTAAAAGATGAACATAGGTAAGAAATTAGATATAAAAATACATCTTCACACCAAATTTAAGGTCTTTATACTCAATGGTTAAAAAGTTATTTGCGTTAACATTGTTACCCCGTCAATCGCTTTACCCCGGTCTCCCCTACGCCACTAAAAATTTGAAAATAATAAGATAATATTAAGCCGGAAAACTTGAAATCGAAATTAATTGATAAATTTCCATATTTATTAATTTATTTGAAAATAAAATTATTTGACTTGTAAAAAGTTGTTAAAATAACATATTTATATATTCTTATTAATTTTTACAAATTAAAATTTTTATTTACAAACGAATTAAAAAATATGGAAATGCTTTAAATAAAATCTGCACAACACTCTAAACAAAAATATTTTAGAAAAATATATTCGGCATCTGCATTTTTTGGCTTTGGGGGGGGGGGGGGATTTGTCCCCCTCCGCTGCGTACGCCAATGACGCAAACCTATCTTTGCTATTAGTGTTTGGCGGCACATTACCTTTGCTGAAGGGGAAAACGTTTTTATCATTTTGACAAAGCTAGGATTGTCTACAGTTGATAAAGGAACTAGTGTCTCAATGACATAATCAATGATTGCATTATCTCCTTCAGTTTTTTGTAGGTTCATATATTTTTTGACTAAAATTTAATATTGACTGTTTTTTCTTGGCTAATATCTTTTTTATTATAACTATTGATATGATTTTCAATTTTTGAATATTGATTAACATGTACTCTCTAAATATAAATTTATAAATTAAATTAAAATTTATTTTATAAAAATCAACTTTATTTTTAACTGATAATCTAAAACATCAAATTATTAAGGTAGATTTTTTAAATAAGAAATTGACAAATATTTAATGAGCAGTATAAATATCTTTTTAGGTACTTTTTTTTTTATTTTTGTAAATTTTTTTATTATTTTGTTTTACTTATTTTATTAATATAAAATAAAAATAAATAATTATTTTCCAAGTTTATTGATCAAAATAAAATAAGAAAAAATCAAATTAAGATTAAATAAAATATAAATTTTACCATAATAAAATGTATATTTTTAATTTGGATGTTACAATTCAATTTAAAAAAATACTTTAAATTTAGAAAAAAAATGTATAAAAAGGAGGTTGAACAAGTAATGAGAAAATTAAAATAAATATTAAAATATAAAAAAGCATCATATCTGACAACCCAAGCTCAACTAATATAATGAATTGCCCAAAAATAATTAAAACCATCTTAAAAAAATTATTACAAAATAAACAAATATTGATTTTACTTTTTAATGTTTTTTTAAATTAAAGCTTGAGATTTTAGAGAAAGATATCCTTTTGTTTTAAGTTGACTTTATCATCTGTATCATCTATAAGCTTGAAATATTTTTTATATGGTGGAAATGGAAATTCGGTTTCTTCTTCTATGATCTCTAAATCCATAATATCTAAATCTATTTTTTATTATATATCTTATCTATAAAATGAATATTAATATGACTTACAAGATTTTTCAAAAAATTTTCAATATAAAAAGGAAAAACTGATGTTTAATGTTTAAAATGATTAGATGAAAAATAAATATAAAACTCGGCTCAACATTTAGTAATGAATAAATTTAAATAAAATAAAATTTTTATTTCATTAAATTTTAATTAACAAATATTATTAATATTTAAAAAATAATATAATTTATATATTAAATTTAAAGGAGCGGTGGAGCGGCGCTCTTCCGCTCCAGCCTTAAAAGAAGCTACTCCCGCTCCCGCTCCTCATTTTTAAAAAGGAGGGGCGCTCCGAGAAAATGTAGCGGCGCTCCATGAGCGCCGCTTCTTAACAACTCTGCTATTTTATATGAGATTATATAATAACTAGTTGATAACCCGTCAAAAATGACGGGGATGAGAATTTTATTCCTTCTTTTACGATAATTCTTTTTACCCCTCCCCCTCCTCCTTCAGGCCAATTCCAACCCATTAAGACTAAGAGTGATGAATTGTCTTTTTTATTCAATGATTGATGAATAATATATTTTACCTTTATTTGATAATGGAGGAATCAGAAATTTTCCTATTTTATGAGATGTGATTTCGAAATTTATATTTTAAATTACAAAAATGAATAAAAATGAAAAAATATCTCATATTAGCATCACACTGATCACCCGTCAAGAATGACGGGGAATTATAATTTGAGATGTGATTTAGAAATTTATATTTAAAATTACAAAAATGAAACAATATCTCTTATTAGCACCCTAAATACTAACATTATTTACCAGACACTTATCACCCGTCAAGAATGACGGGGAATTATAATTTGAGATGTGATTTAGAAATTTATATTTAAAATTACAAAAATGAAACAATATCTCTTATTAGCACCCTAAATACTAACATTATTTACCAGAGCTCCTGTTAGTCAGAACTGCTGTTCACTCCCCACCGCGTGAAGGTAGGAGATGGATTTTAGGGGAGAAGAATGAAAAAAAGAAGGAAGAAATAGAAAAAAAGAGACAAAGATATTAATTATAAGAAAATATAATAAATATTTATACTTCAAGAGTTGATGATTATCGGGTTACAACACATATGCATTTGTAGCCATATAAAAAATATAATATAATAAATTTTATAATATAGAAAATTTTACCTAAAAAAGGAGATTTAAAATATTTTCAAAATTGAGAGGGATGTAAGAATTTTAAGCATTAGTCGGGTATATCACCGTATCTTGACTTTTATTTGTTAATGTTTTGCCATGGCTCGTAGTTTGCCGTAAATATCCTGAAATAAAACGTGTAAATTGAAATTATAAAGTAGAATTTACTGTTGTTGGTGAGCAAGATGGTTTAGCGATGGTAAAGAAGTTCTCTTTTCTTTGCTCAATGTGGTTTCGTTTTTGAAGATGATGTTGTCTTGCTCGTAGTTTGCCGTAAATAACCTGAAAAAAAACGTGTAAATTGAAATTATAAAATAGAATTTACTGTTGTTGGTGAGGAAGATGGTTTAGCGCTGATGAAGAAGTTCTCTTTTCTTTGCTCAATGTGGTTTCGTTTTTGAAGATGATGTTGTAATTTCCTTGCTCGTAGTTTGCCGTAAATAACCTGAAATAAAACGTGTAAATTGAAATTATAAAATAGAATTTACTGTTGTTGGTGAGGAAGATGGTTTAGCGATGGTAAAGAAGTTCTCTTTTCTTTGCTCAATGTGGTTTCGTTTTTGAAGATGATGTTTTAATTTCCTCGCTCGTAGTTTGCCGTAAATAACCTGAAAAAAAACGAGTAAATTGAAATTATAAAATAGAATTTACTGTTGTTGGTGAGGAAGATGGTTTAGCGATGGTAAAGAAGTTCTCTTTTCTTTGCTCAATGTGGTTTCGTTTTTGAAGATGATGTTGTAATTTCCTTGCTCGTAGTTTGCCGTAAATAACCTGAAAAAAACGTGTAAATTGAAATTATAAAATAGAATTTACTGTTGTTGGTGAGGAAGATGGTTTAGCGATGGTGAAGAAGTTCTCTTTTCTTTGCTCAATGTGGTTTCGTTTTTGAAGATGATGTTTCCTTGCTCGTAGTTTGCCGTAAATAACCTGAAATAAAACGTGTAAATTGATATTATAAAATAAAATTTACTGTTGTTGGTGAGGAAGATGGTTTAGCGATGGTGAAGAAGTTCTCTTTTCTTTGCTCAATGTGGTTTCGTTTTTGAAGATGATGTTGTAATTTCCTTGCTCGTAGTTTGCCGTAAATAACCTGAAAAAAAACGTGTAAATTGAAATTATAAAATAGAATTTACTGTTGTTGATGAGGAAGATGGTTTAGCGATGGTAAAGAAGTTCTCTTTTCTTTGCTCAATGTGGTTTCGTTTTTGAAGATGATGTTGTAATTTCCTTGCTCGTAGTTTGCCGTAAATAACCTGAAAAAAAACGAGTAAATTGAAATTATAAAATAGAATTTACTGTTGTTGGTGAGGAAGATGGTTTAGCGATGGTGAAGAAGTTCTCTTTTCTTTGCTCAATGTGGTTTCGTTTTTGAAGATGATGTTGTAATTTCCTTGCTAGTAGTTTGCCGTAAATAACCTGAAATAAAACGTGTAAATTGAAATTATAAAATAGAATTTACTGTTGTTGGTGAGGAAGATGGTTTAGCGATGGTGAAGAAGTTCTCTTTTCTTTGCTCAATGTGGTTTCGTTTTTGAAGATGATGTAAGTGATTTGATAGTGAATAACAAAGTTGGTGACTTTTTTAAATTTCTTACAAATTATGAATTTAATATTTCATTATATATGATATTTTGTGTGAATGTTTTATCATTTTTTAAAATTTTTCCTTGTAATTCTGATGGCAAAATCATAATTTTCATATTATTTTGAGATTTACATCTAGTAAGAGCCACATATAGTTATCCATGGGCAAAGACGGGCTCAGGAAGGAATAAGCCTACATGATCAAAAGTTTGTCCTTGACTTTTATTTATTGTAATCACAAAAGCGGGAATTATAGGAAACTGTCGTCTTTTTAAAGTAAATGGTAACTGAGAGTCACTTGGAGCTAGATCTATTCGTGGGAAAAAAACTCGATAACGCTTAGTAGTGCCTGTCAATACCTCAGCGTCGATAAAATTAATATGTAAATGTCGTATGATTAAACGGGTACCATTACAAAGTCCTTTCTTTGGGCTCAAGTTGCGTAATAGCATAACAATTGTACCAACCTTAAGTGTTAGCTTGTGAGGTGGCATACCGGATGGAGTTTGTGAATGCAAAAATTCTATTGGAAAATTCATTATATCATCCTTATTATCGCCTTCAATGGAATCTGCACTTTAATAATGTTTGATAGGGCCTGAAATTATATTAATGATATCGTTGTTGAGGGTAAGTGCAATTTTATTTTTGGTGGTTAATAATATTTTAGTAGAAAGACTATCTATATCAGCAATTTCTATAGAATTACCATACACACATTTTATTAATGAATCATTTTCAAGCAAATAAGGTGGGATTTCAACATTATTTGTAGGAAGATCAGAATTGCTGCTTGATAGCCCATCTCCAATTTTAAGTAACCAAGCATTGTAATCAACTTGCTCTGATAAAATACGCATATTATCAATCAAATGTATTATTTTAAAATGACTCCATAAATCTGAACTTTTTATACAGGACTCTATAATATCGACTTTGGAGCCTTTAGGCACTACTTATAAAGTCTGTCTAAAATCACCACCTAATAAAATAACTTTTCCGCCAAATGGGTGGGAATTTTTCATAATGTCTTTAAGTAATCGGTCAATGCATCGCAAAGCGTGTTTAGTCATCATTGTGACCTCATCAATAATAATCAATTTGCTATTTTTAATATCTAGTGCTAGCTAACTATGTAAATTCATATGGGATGTAGAAGTTTCAAAGATAGGCTAATTTAAATCCGCTATGGATGGTTCTTCCCCCCTTTAAGAGAATAGAGGATATGCCGGTGGTTGCAAAAGGCAATACAATTTGATTTTTTGCTCTTATATAACACATTAAGGTATTGTAAAGATACGTTTTACCTGAACCTCCAGGGCAATCCACGAAGAAATATCTTTCTGGAATATTTTCTAATTCAATCGCTTGTATAATTAAATCGAAAGCATATTTTTGTAATCGGTTTAATTTAGATATACGCTCGATTGAATCGGCAGCTTCAACATGGGCATCATAATGTTGTTTTGGGGGGATTTTTGTAGGTGAAGGAAGATCAAAACTTTGACAGCATAAACCATGATCAAGAAAAACGTTTTCAATGTCCATTAAAGCCATGTTTATTGCAATTACTTCTGAATATTGACGCAAATAATCTTCAATCATCATAAATCTGAACCTATTCCATAGATATGCAGGATTTTCAGGCTGACAAAAAAATGCAGATAAAGGCAAAAGTATTCCGAAGTTGTGACGGCATTTGATATATTGATCCCTCTTCTAAGCATGATTCCCACTCTTTATCATCTGATAACAAATTTCTTTTAATAGCTGCCTCTTTAAAAGTACTCATTAAAATTCCATTAATAGTTTTTAAATAATCAAAACTTGTAGCCCCGCAAACATGAAGTAATAATAATCGAAGGAAGAATCGTTCACCAGAATTAGGATGAACGGTATACATTCTCGAAATTACATTTAATCGTTTTTTTCTTAGTTTCCAATGGTAATTTGTAAACACATAATGATAAGGTATTTCCCCATAAAGATATTGTCAATATGAGCATTGAATTTTAACATTAGATATCGATTATCTGGAATAACATAACGATTATCCGTAGGTTTACCGGAAAGAATTATAATACCATCTCGCCTTTTATAATATGGATACCCATCAATATTTGGTCTTGTTTCCATTTGAAAATCCTTAGGAAATATTTTGGTACATATGCCATTTTCCATGCAAGGCGATTTGGGGTTAAATATCCCGCAAGGACCATGTATCATAAAATGAATAACAATCTGAAAAAGTTTAGGTTCGAGAATTTTATCTGGCATTTCTGCACAAACAAATTTATCTATAGCTTGAGATGTTTCAATTTTGCTATCATCGTTTAAAATAATAAGTATATGGGCATGATGCAAACCTGTTTTTTGGAATTCGATTGTATATATAAAAGCCATAGATTTACCAAATAAATTTTTTTTTATTTATATCGAACAATAATTCATTTAATTTCAATTTAAAAACCCGGGCTATTAAATCTGGTCTATCTGTAGGACTTTGCCCGGGAAATAGATTTTCCTTAATTTTACGCCAATTAGGATTGCATGTAAAAGTAATAAACAAATCAGGTTTGACAAATTTGAGCACAATGGCCATTGCATCGTGATAGCGTTCTCTCTTTGAGAACCTTGAAAAGATGATGGTAAAATTACTGCTTTACCGGGAATTATATTGTTTGACCTTGTTTTCAAGTAGTCCATTAATCCAGAATATTCATCTACTCGTAATTTTGGCTGATTTTGTCTAATAAAATTTAAATTATTCGCCTCGACCTGTAAATAGGAATCAACAATATATTGTTGTGATAATTTCCCAGCAAAAAGGATTGGGTTGAACTCATTTTCACGAATTGCTAATCTAAATATTTTAAACTGTAGTAGTGAGATATTTGCCCTTGTACGCCCTGTATCTTCACCCTTTAAATCTGGTTTCCAACCAGGGTCACCAAAAGGAAATAATAGAGGATATACCATTGGAACAAGATTAGGGCTTAATATATTTATATTTATCAGATCACTACCATCAACTCGAGGATAGACCTTGATATCCCGTTTAAATGGGGGTTCACCATCATCATTTGTAAAAATCATAGCTACTTCATCTATATTAGGAATGTTATATCTTCGCTTGTCACTTGAGCGATCTGCACAAAAAATCATATTGATTTTTTGAACTGGACGATTTTCTTGAATAGCCCTATTTTTTTCTTCTTTCTCAATTTCTCCTTAAAACTAATAGAAATGGGTTATTCTGTCTTATTAAAAAATCTAATCTTTTCAAGAGATCCTCATTGCAACCAGAATTTTCTTTCATGTGTAACCTGCCATTAACAGCCTGGGTTGTCTCAAGGACATATAGTTGTGCAAATTTAGGAGGCATCCCAGTGGAAGGATATAAATGAGATGTTCGGTGATAAATTTGCCTATGAACTCTAATATGGGCCCGGGTTTAACCTATTTGAAATCTGTGCTCCCATGGATACGAACGCAAGTGAACTATTATAAGATCTTATATATTTCGTAAAGTTTGAATGAAATTCATTGTTAGGATTAGATAAAAGGTCTTGTAAAAAAGGATATATTTCATAAAGTTTGAATGAAATTCATTGTTAGGATTAGATAAAAGGTCTTGTAAAAAAGGAATATATCGGATTGATGGTATCTTAACTTTACCCTTATGACAGCAATTCTTAAATTTGCCATCTGTGGGTTTTTCCAATAAAAAATTTAGAGAATCGCAATAATCGCACTTAGTGTTGAGTAATCCACAATAATGTTCTTGTACTAATGATTGTTGTGCAGAAATATTTATCTAAAATAAATAAAATAAATTTGAGGCCTGCTAAAAATTATACATATAATTTAATATTTTTGTAATTATTCAGAGACCTGCAGGCCCGGTGTAGTATTGTAAAATCAATACCATCAAAAATCAATACGTTATTGATTCTACAATATTGTAAAATTAATACCGTATTGATAATTTATGACCGAACCTCAACTTTTACGAATAAAATCGAAAATATAATTTATAAATCTTTGATTCGACATTTATATATGAATCACAAAATTTTAAAACTCAATCAATAAGGTCCATTTAATTTATTTGAATTCATAATATCATTTATAAAACTTTGAATCAACAATTATATAGCACTTCACAAATTACAAATAATGAGTAAACAAATATAAAATATTTAGGATATCAAGAATTGTAAAATAAATAAATTCCCTGATAAATTATATAAAAGAATAGAAAATCATATTTATCATTTAAATATATTTAAAACTATTAAATCTATTTTAAATAAATTTTTTACAAATCGAAAATGGCCACCAATATTTATAAAGCGATGAAAAAATATATAATAAATAAATATTTTACAATTTTACTGGCCGCCAATATATTTGAAGCGATGCAAACATCTTAAAAATCTATACGGTATTGATTCTACAATAGCAATATATCACTACGGTATTGAATCTATAATGATAATATCAATACGGTATTGAAGTTACAATGGGTATTGATATAACAATCCTACGCCGGCTCTGATGTAAACATATGCCAGGCTTATAATAATTTTTTCTAAAATATTCCATGGGTAATTACGATTATGTAGCACATACTTATTTTATCTTATATTTTGCCCATCAAGATGATAGTGAAATAAGAATTTTCTCCTTTATTAGTTGATGAAATATATTTTTTATTGTGGACATAAATTAAAATTAATAACCATATACTTCATAAATAAATAATTAATTTTGAATAACCCCTGATGATGGATTAATCAAAAATTTTCCTATCTATCTTATAAGATGTGATTCAGAAATTTATATTTATTTAAATATTTGTTATACATAAATTAAAATTTTTAACTTGGTTTGTTTCTATTGATTTGGGTAGATTAAGATTTTGTTGAATAGTAGATTTTGGTAGTGTCTAATTTAAAAAAATTTATTTGTTAACATAAATTAAAATTTTTAACTTCGTTTGTTTCTATTGATTTGGTTAGATTAAGATTCTGTTGAATGGTACATTTCGGTAATATGATTCGTAGAATCTAATTTAAATAAATTTATTTGTTAACATAAATTAAAATTTTTAACTTTGTTTGTTTTTATTGATTTGGGTAGATTAAGATTCTGTTGAATGGTACATTTCGGTAATATGATTCGTAATCTAATTTAAATAAATTTATTTTTTAACATAAATTAAAATTTTTAACTTCGTTTGTTTTTATTGATTTGGGTAGATTAAGATTCTGTTGAATGAATAATACATTTTGGTAATATGATTCGTGGAATTTAATTTATAAAAATTTATTTATTAAGATAAATTAAAATTTTTAACTTGGTTTATTTTGATTGATTTCGGTAGATTAAGATTCTGCTGAATGGTACATTTCGGTAATATACATCGTGGAATCTAATTTAAAAAAAATCTATTTGATAACATAAATTAAATTTTTTAACTTCGTTTGTTTTTATTGATTTGGGTAGATTAAGAGTCTGTTGAATGGCACATTTC